ACTCTTCTTTCTCGAGTCCCTTCTGGTACCTCTCATTTTACTGTACTGGACCTTAAAGATGCCTTTTTCACTATACCTCTCCACTCAGACTTGCAGCCACTATTTGCCTTTACGTGGGAAGACCCTGACACCTGTCGAGATAGACAATTGACCTGGACAATTCTACCTCAAGGTTTTAGAGATAGCCCCCATCTTTTTGGACAGGCCCTGGTGGAGGACATCTCAACGGGCGAGAGTACTCTCCTCCAATACGTAGATGATCTTTTACTTTGCAGCCCCTCAAAAGAAGCCTCGGTTCTGGACACCACATCCCTTCATAATTTCCTGGCAGACATGGGATACAGGGTATCCCCTGCCAAAGCACAGCTGTCTCTACCCTAGGTTACATACCTCAGGCTAACTCTAACTCCCACCACTAAAGCCCTGACAGTGGACCAAGCAGCTGCGATTAAAGCTCTCCTGCCACCTACTTCAGGAGCCAAGATACTATCCTTTCTAGAATTGCTGGAGTTTTTCAGACACTTGGTGCCTAACTTTCCCCTTCTGGCCAGACCACTCTATGCAGCTGCCACTGGGCCGCTAACTTCATCCACCGAGGTAGCTTCTGCTTTCAATCAATTGTGGGATGCATTGCTCTCATCCCCCCCATTAATGCTCTCCGACTTAACTAAGCCCTTTACAGCAGAGAGGGCAGGGGTGGCCATCAGAGTGCTAGTACAGCCAGTGGGGCCGGGGTGCTGTCCCATTGCCTTTCTCTCCAAACAGTTGGATACCACCGCCAGAGGGTGGCAGCCTTGCCTCCAAGCCCTGGCATCTGCGGGAAGTCTGGCCAGAGAAGCCCTGAAATTAACGCTCCAACAGCCCATTACTGTGTATTCCCCACACCGGTTACAAGATCTTTTGAGTCATAAATTCCTGGCCTCCTTGAGTCCTTCAAGGTTACAGGTAACCCTACAAGTCTCTCCACCCCTTAACCTAGCCTCCTTGCTTCCCATCAGCGATCAGGTGGATCAGCCCACTCATTCCTGTGTAGAGATTGTAGAGGCTCTTAGAAAATCTAGAGAATGCCTACAAGACATGCACCTCGAAAACCCTAACTTGACCTTTTTCATAGATAGAAGCTCAGTGAAGGGGAGTGACGGGGTGCGAAGGGTGGCCTATGCAGTGGTAACTCTGTCGCAAGTGATAGAAGCAAACCTACTCCCATCTGGGACCACCTCCCAAAAAGCCAAATTAGTGGCTCTCACCCGGGCATTATAGCTGGCAGCCAGAAAGAGAGCTACAATTTATACTGACTCTAAATATGCCTTCCTAATTACACACACTCATGCTGTGATTTGGAAGGAAAGGGGCTTCCTTACCACCAAGGGAACCCCAATCATCAATGGCAGGGCTATCAGCCACCTGCTACAGGCCCTACAGGACCCCAAAGAGGTGGCCATCATACATTGTAAGGGACATCAGACTGGAAACGATCCAGTAACCAGAGGTGATGCCTTGGCAGACACCACGGCCTGACAGTTAACATCTGGGTCTAGCCAACCCTCTGTGCTGTTTCTTTCCCCCTCTCTACTGCCCCAATACCCCGAAGATGAATGGCAACTGCTTCTACATCAAGGGGGGACATTGGGAGACCAGGGATAGATATACCTCGGGGGATGAATTGCCCTCCCTCAAGCCCAAAGCAGAGATATCATATCCAAAATTCATCCGTTTCTACACATTGAGCCAGAGGCCATGCACCAGTTTCTCTCCCCCATATTTGCCCCTTATGGTCTCCACAAGGCCATAGATCAGATGCACCAAGCCTGCACTACTTGTCATCACGTCTCATCTCAAGGTGCTCTGAAGACCCAGATGGCCCTCCACCAGCTCAGACGAACAATCCCTGGACAGGACTGGCACGTTGATTTCACCCACATGCCTAAGCATAAAACGCTCAGGTATTTACTAGTTCTGGTTACTACTTTTTCAGGGTAGATTGAAGCCTTCCTCACCAGCCAGGAAACAGCTTCAGTAGTGGCACAGACATTAGTAGCGCATATCATTCCCCGCTTTGGCCTGCCTGCCTCACTATAGTTGGACAACGGGCCTGCTTTCATCTCTCGGGTCACTCAGCTAACAGCCAAGGCTCTCAACATCACCTGGAACCTCCATATACCCTATCACCCCCAATCGTCGGGTAAGGTCGAAAGGGCTAACGGTTTCCTAAAAGACCAACTAGCTAAGCTGTCTCTAGAGGTAAAGCTCTCATGACCCGATCTTCTCCCCATCACTCTCGCTTGGCTGTGTGGTGCCCCGTGGGGACCGGCTGGACTAAGCGCATTTGAGCTGATGTATGGCAGGCCCTTCTTACTAAACACAGGCCTGCCTGCTATCTCTCCTCCTTTGGCCTCCTACCTTCCTTACTTTACACTGTTGAGACATCTTAGGGAACACGCAGACCAGCTCCTACCCCAACCTACATCATCCAACAACCCAGGAGACGTAGTGATCCTTCAGCCAGGAGACCAGGTACTCCTAAGAGAACTCCAGCCTGTAGAAAAATCTCTCCAAACCCGCTGGACAGGGCCTTATACAGTAATCCTCACTACACCCTCAGCAATTAAACTACATGGGCATTCCTCCTGGTATCACCTTTCTAGGCTCAAACTGGCACCCAGACACGGTGATTGGGTGTCTTGTGAGGTGGGTCCTCTTAAGCTGTGGGTTAGTCATGTCAAGTACAACCAGCCAGATGAATAGCCCGGTAGTGTCCAGGCAGAGTTATTCTGCATGGAAGTTTAAGCTACAACTAATTCTTCGCAGAATCAACTGAGAAGTAAGCACCCAAAGTTGCCCATGTGTAGGTTGTCAGGCACTGATTCAGATACCAATACACATAGACATCTTAAACACTTTCTCAAACCCTACGCTGTGCTTTCTGTATAACCAGATCTCTCATAGATGTGTTTTCCAGTCTGACATGTATGAGGGATGTCATCCTGAATTAGACACATGTAGAGTTCATGCAGTAGAAAAACAGCAAGAGGAGTCTCTGACAACATGTTCTTCAGAATACAAGATAAGCTATACATCACCATTAGTGACCCATGAAATCCACGCTGGGAAAAAGGAGTACAGGGCAAGCTATACGATAGTTACCAAGCCTCCCCACAGGGCACAGTATACATTAAGAGAGAATGGACCACTGTAAATCCCACTCTCACAGAGGTTCTAAACACCCAGGCACAGGTATCAAGTAATATTCTACAAACAGAACAAGCACTAAAACAGAAGATTCAGTAGGACCCCCTACCCCAACTCCCTATGAACAGCAGGAGCAACCCTTTCCTGGGCCAGAGTCATTAGAGAAACAGTATGTTTTCTTAATGCTTCACATATCCTCAGCAATGTATCTGATCATTTCCTCTGCACCTCCCCCCAACGCCCCCCGGTGGCAGCAGTTCCCATTAGTTTTTTCCAGGCTCAACCAGTAAACTCCTCTGAAAAAGACTGCGGCCTCCCTTTAAGCAAGGTACCAGTGTAGAAAATGATCCTTAAGCCTGAGGCTCAACATTGTTATGCCCAAATTGCAGTGAGTCCAAAGAACCACTGGAGGACTCAGATAGCATGTAAAAACAAAGAGCCTTTATTAAAGCAGAACAAGCTCGAGCTTGGGCACCCAACCAGCCCGATGCAGCGGGACTTAGTTTGGGAGCCCCTGTGAATGTTACAACAGGATTTTTATGCATTCAAGAGGGGCAGTTAGGGAGTTTCCTCTCAGGCAGAACTGGGATTGGTTGACCTTTAACTTGTTCTAGGCTGATTGGATTGTTAAGGTAAGTTCTCTTTTTGTTTTTGTAATGCTCCTAGGGTTCTTTCCTGCCTGAGCCTGATTGGTTGAAACGGGACATGGTTTTTCTTAGTATCTGATTCTTGGTACAGTTATGGGGTAAGAGTATAGTCATGGGGTAAGGGTACAGTCATGGGGTAAGGGTACAGTCATGGGGTAAGAATTCAGTCATAGGGTAAGGGTACAGTCATGGGGTAAGAGTTCAGTCATGGGGTAAGAGTATTTTACTTCTCTAAGATGGAGTCCCTTTGATCAATCTTAAATTTTGCTTGGTTCTCTCAGACATAAGTCTGGGGTCACCAGAAAATGGCACAAGGAACCATCATCCCCACTGACCCCCTACCTGACCCAGCATTCCACCATCTCAGAATTGTCAATGGGAAGCCAATGCCGATGATGGGTAACTGTAGGCACTCCAATCTCCCTTCAAGGGGGTGGGTTTCTCTGGTGCAACAATACCCTTACCCAGTGTATCAGCAGCACCATGGTAGAGCCCTGCTTTTCAGTGATGCTAGTTCCCCAATTGACATTATACAACAAACGTGAGGTAAAGCAGGTGCAAGATGGATGGTCTATGTATCCAGGAGCTAAACAAAAGAGGGCTGTCTTCCTACCCGTACTAGTAGGAGTAAGTCTGGTCACTACAGTAGTCATGGCCACCACAGGGGCGGGAGCATTAGGCCACAGCCTAGTCAGCTCTCAAAGTCTCACAAGTCAACTGGCAGCATTAGATGATAGAGTGAGACTGACCCTGGGAGAAACCTCAACCTCTCTTATTTCCCTCCAGTGGCAGCTTACTTCCCTTGCCCAAGTCACCCTTCAAAAGAGGCAGGCTCCAGATCTGCTTACTGCAGAAAAGGGTGGAACCTGTATTTTCTTGCAGGAAGAATGCTGCTACTATATCAATGAGTCTGGAGTCATAAAACAAAGCATAAAAAAACTACAAGAACTACAAAAAGACCTCCACAAAACATGAGTACCTGAAGGCAGCCCTTATGGGTGGCTTTAGTCCCCCTTGATGGCCTGCTAATGCCTCTGCTGGGCCCCTTCATAATAGTTTGCAGTTTACTCTTAATTGCCCCATGTGTTTTCAAGTTCCTTCAACAGCTCATGGCAGAAATATCACACATAAAGGTCAATCAGCTGTTGCTGCACAAGTACTCACCTCTCCTGACTGAGCCTCCTCCAGCCATCAACCTTAAACCCCCTCCCACCACGATGCCCCTTGTCAGCCGGAAGTAGCCAGATCGAGTCAGTGCCCATTATGACCAAAAGGCTGGAGGCACCAGGGGAAGGGGTGAGCCTGCTGGACAAGCTCAGGCCTTACCAAACAGGGCGGGGAGACCAACAGGTTCCAGTCTGACAACATTCCAGAGGCTGATCAGACAACATTCCTAACTAGAGCCCTCCCCCAAGCTAGAAGAGTAATGGTAACTTTCCAATACCTGGTTAAAGGCCAATGAGAGACCCCCACGTATCCCAGGTGAGCCAATCCCTATGCCACTGTATACCTTTGCTCTCCCTCCCCCTGCCTTCTTTAAAAACTTGCTGCCTGCCCTACTGGGCATGAATTCCCCAGCCTCTATTTCCGTAAACTAGTGAACCTCGCCCGGGAATTGCATTCAAATAAACTACCTGGCCCTTTGTTGCCTCTCTTCACCTGCTTATTTCAGTTGGAATTTATCTTACACTAACTATCATAAATATGTCAATTATCTTTAATTTAATGTACTACTGTTGGATTTTCCCAGAGGAGGACGCCGCCCCAAATCACTCACGAAAGGCGTCTCTTGATGCAATAAGCAAGAGGAATTTATTCAGGAACCAGCTAGCTGGGGT